TCTAGAAGCTGTGTACTGAATTGTATTGTGGCTGCAGTAAGTTGGATTCCCACTAAAACTGTGTCTCCATGTTCTTTCTCCTGGATTGACTCTAGTGTTCGTTGTCTTTTTTGCATTGCTTCATGTTCCTTAACATAATTTAATGCTATTTCTTTTTTGTATTTTAGAAACGTTGATATGAACTGGCAGGAAATCTGGACATTTTTTTTCCCTAAGACTGAGATTTACAGCAAGTCCAAATCTCAGAGAAGAGCAACAGATAGTTTTTAGAGTCTGTGAATCCAGTAATAATCCACCCACAAATGACCAGGTTTGAGTGAGCCATTAGAAAAATTGTTATCAAGGAGGTGATAGGGCCAGGCGTTGGTGGCGCACGCCTTTAATCCCAGCACTCAGGAGGCAGAGGCAGGGGGATCTCTGTGAGTTCGAGACCAGCCTGGTCTACAAGAGTTAGTTCTGGACAGCCTCCAAAGCCACAGAGAAACCCTGTCTCGAAAAACAAAAACAAACAAAAAAAGGAGGTGATAGGGTTTGGGCACCAGACTGTGTCCCTGAGACGGGTGCAGCAGCCAGTTTTAAAGGGGAAAACCACAAAGAGACAACAACCACAAAGAGTCCCATCCAACCATAATGTAATATGGTTGGGAACTTTCCAGGCTAATACACTTTCAGCCTATCAGGGAGCTCTGTGCTTTGGGGATTCTGATCTGGCTCTGGGTCAACCAATCAGAAGGCTGTGGAATGCTTGTAGTTTACACCTGTGTGAGGGGTTTGGGGGGCCTGCAGCCTAGCTTCAGGAAATGGGATGTAGCAGCTCAGGGCAGAATGGCAGACTGGGACAAAATGGAGTTTCTGTTGCCAGCTAGGATCTAGCATTCCCCCTCTTCTGGTGGGTCATCAAATCACTGATGTCAGAGGTGCAGGTCCTGTGGGGGACCATATTGGGCTTGCAAGACTAGGAGCTTAAGTGCATTGAGAGGGAGATAGAGTTCAGCAGGCAGAGTGCACATAGTATGATTAATAGAATTACAACTAAAGCCCCGTCCACCTGTTACCAATTGGCATTATAGGTAGCCAGAGTGGCCCCTATGTCAGGGAGTTTCCTTTTAGCCTTTTTCAGCATGTTATTGGGGTAGGGACAATGTACTCTCCTCTGTAGATGTTTCCAGCTGAACCAGGGCATAGGTTGTCGGGGCCCAGGAAGTCCAAAGTGCTAGTCAAGGGTTGAGCAATGGGACATTTATCTGAAGCATCAGACTAACTGATCCAGGTGGAGTGATGGGGGGAAACCATTGGCTGGACTGGTTCACACCAGTTTACAGCAAGTCCAAAGCTCAGCAACTTACAGGTGCCAGGTGTTCCCTGGAAAGTGCATTCATCGGCCAACTGAAAACCTGCTGAGATATAGACTAGAGACAGAGGTTAAAATTCAGGAACTTAACGATGTAAAGGTGTGGTGCATTTGTTTCTGCTGCATTTGTTTAACTCTGTGAAGCTGTGATTATTTGCCTCTCTAAAACAGCCAATAAGAGACAGGATAAAGGATGGGCTGGGCTGGCAGGCAGAGAGAACAAACAGGAGAAATCTGGGAGGAGAAGAGAGGCAGGAACAAGACAGAACAATGAGAAGACTTCAGGGGCCAGGCACCCATTGACACAGAAAAGCTATACAGAGAAGCCCTGTCTTGGAAAAAACAAACAAGAAAAACCTTCCAAATTTAATATTTCTGGATGGAGGAATGAGAGAGGTAGGAAGCAAAATGGTGTTTGCTCCTGGTTCTCTGACCTTCCAGGTTTTTACCACAGTGTTTGATTCCTGATTTTTTATTACTAAGATCACTTAGATTAACCCTTCATAGGCTGTCCTTAAACTTATAGAGATCTTATTATGCTACCCTTATACTGTAATTAGTGGTCCTACCAAGCCCAGCTATTTTAATGTCTTTTTTTATTCCCTCCTGTCTTTTTGTTTCTCTCTGTGTGTCTCTGTTTCTTTCATTCTCTCGTTTCTCTCTTTCTTCAATTTTATTTTCTCAAGACAAGGTTTCTCTGTATAGCTCTGGTTGTCCTGAAACTAGCTCTGCAGTTCAGGCTGGCCTCGAACTCCATGTCAGATATTCATGGTTTTCCTTCCTTTGGCACAGAGGACCGGCAGCCATCACGCTCCCATCACACGTAAGAGCATCCCTCCTTATACTCGAAAGGAAAGTTCATCTGCATTTGTGATACAGCGATGAATTTTGTTTGGACTGTGACTAACTAACTCAGGGTTACTATTACTTCAGCAAACACAGCTCGACCAAAATGTAAGCTGATGAGGAAAAGGCTTCTTCAGCTTACACTTCTACATTGCTGTTCTTCACCACAGGAAATCAGGACAGGAATCAAACAGGGCAGGATCGCAGAGGCAGGAGCTGCTGCAGAGGGTATGGACAAGTGCTGCTTACTGGCTAAATGTTCCCTAGGTGGCCATGATGCTTTGTTATAAAAACCAGGACCATCGGCCCAGGGATGGCACCACCCATCATGGGCTGGGCTCTCCTCCATTGATCACTAATTGAGAAAATACCTAAGAGCTGGATCTCATGGGAGAATTTCGGGTCCTTCTTCACTGATAACTATGGCTTGTGTCAAGTTGACCCAAAGCCAGCCGGTACAGGCCAGTAGCCACTGATTATACAAGGGATATTAATGACACTTTGCTCATAGACAGTGGATGTATAAGAGCAGAGCAGTGGGTTGCAATGTTTGACCTGTGAGCATGTGTGTTCCTGGGATTTAACTTGCAGAGAGCAACGACTACGACAAGAATAAAACTTGGGCTATGTGGACTGAAGTACTGAGCTCTCTGGAGCTCTCCATTCAGAATATACTGGAATTAAAATCAAAGAGGCTCTTATTAATCTGCCAGGGTTCTAAGACAATAGACTATTTAAATGTAAAGTGATAATGTTTATGTGATTACAGAATAATAATAAAGTATACAATAGTGAATGTCCTACTTGCTTTCCTAGTGCTGACATAAAACATTTATCAAACCCAGTATGGGGAAGAAGTTGGCTTGTGTTATAAAACACAAATTACAGTCCAGCATTGAGGGAAATCAAGGCAGGAGCTGAAGCGGGCACCATGGAGGGATACTGCTCACTGGCAAATTCCCCATAGTTCACTCAGGGAATCACAAGAAGCTGTTGAAACATGAGTTCTAAGGGACCTGGTATGGTCCCTTTATGGCAACGGCCAGGCCCTCGTGTAGTGTATGGCACCCACATGCATGCAGACAAACCTCTCCTCCCTACTGACATGTGAAAACTGACACAAGCTAGCATGGTCACACCTGAAGGACAATGGAGGAGGATTGTCCTCTACAAACATTCTGACCAATCCCTTGGAAGAATTCCCTGGCATTTGTTGCGGCACTAGAGAAATTAGTTCTAAAACAAAGAAAATCTCCAGAAAGCACAAAGACTCATTGAAAAAATCTTGAGAAGAAAGCTGGGTGTGGTCGGCGCACGCCTTCAATCCCAAGACTTGGGAGCAGAGGCAGGCAGATCACAGTGAGGCCAAGGCCAGACTGGTCTACAGAGTGAGTTCCAGGATGGCCAGAGATGTAAGGGGAAGCCATTTATCAGAAAATCAAACACACAATAAAACCAAACAAACGAAATTACATTATTCCAATGCAAACCACAGAGTATTGTCATGAAGAGAGACAACAAAAGGAATTCTGGATAAAATGTGATAGAGAGTCAACACGCTCAAGAAAATTCTTGCAATCTGTTAGATACACTGCTATACAAGGGCCTGAGAACCAGGCTACACAGTGGCACCCCGACCAAACAATTTTAAAGGCAATGCAAAAATGGTGATCTTTGTAGTTTGCAAAGTTAACACTGCCTATCCTAACCAGGAGTGATATGAGCAGCAATTTTCTAGAGACAAAGCAGATAACAGTTGCCAACAGACTAAATCTCACTGCTATGACAAGAGCATCAATTTTAGGGCAAGGCCTAGCCCCATATATCTGCCATCTTCAATGCCCACCAGAGAGTTAAATCTTTACTAATTGGCTCAAACAATATTTCTCAGATTCTAGCAACGCTACACAAAGAAACTGTCTTGAGAAGCCAAAAGAGAGAGAATATGGATAGCACTGAGACCCAACTTGGTGACCAATGAGCAATATTGGGGTTACACACAGGAATTTGGGTAAGGGGTTGCTTACATGAGCCAAAGGGACTCAAAGAAAGCTGACGTCACAAAAATCCCAACCTTTTAATGGAATCCATCTCATGAAGTTAGAAAGCTTGAGGCATACTGCAAGTCTGTAGGCATGTCAAAAATTAGTGTACTTTTTTTTTTTTTTAAAGATTTATTATGTATACCATTCTGCTCACATGTATTCCTGCAGGCCAGAAGGGAGCACCAGATCTCATTACAGACAGTTGTGAGCTGTCATGTGATCGACGAGAATTGAACTCAGAAGCAACCGGTGCTCTCAACCTCTGAGTCGTTTCGTGGTCCCAGTGTTTTTCTTTTGTTGTTGTTGTTTGTTTTTTTGTTTTTGTTTCTTGGTGGCTCAGCTGGTTAGGGTCTCTTCTAGGCACCATGAGTGGTCTGAATTTCTTCAAAGGAGTTATACCAACTGAATCTGTTCAAATTTGAGGGATTTCCTGAAGTTTAGAGGTATAAATTCTTCTCTGAATTGGCTTCCCTTCAGGATGGAATGTCTCAGAAAACTGCTGCACAACAGCCAGTTCCCCAGGTCTCTCCATTTTCTCTTCACTATGAAGTCTTCCAAGTTGAACAGGTAAGATAACTTCACGACAGGTTTTCCCCCAGTTTCCAATATTCAGAATTTTCCCAGAATAATCTCCCAATGCTTTCTAAGATTCAAACATTCCATAAAGGCTGTCACAAGTGTCTCACATTCATAACACTCCCTTCGGAGAAACCTGCTATGCTTTTCAGGAGAAAGCTCTGCATAAAGTATATGCCACATCATTTACTATGGAAATTTGTCTCCATAGTATGAATCCTCTGATGTCCTGTAAGACCAGAGAGACGAGTAAAGGCTTTGCCACATTCGCTACAGTTGTAAGGCTTCTCTCCTGTATGAATTTTCTGGTGTCTTATCAAGTTGCCTTTATGGAGAAAGGATTTGTCACACTCATTACATTTGTAAGGTTTCTCTCCTGTATGAATTTTCTGATGGGTTCTTAAGTATATCTTTTGACTAAAGCACTTCCCACAATCACTGCATTTGAAAGGTCTCTCTCCTGTATGTATCCTTTGATGTCTTCTAAGGTAAGAGGCATATTTAAAGAGTTTTTCACACTCATTACACTTATAAGGCTTCTCACGTCTGTGAATTTTCTCATGAGTTCTAAGATGGACTTCCCTGCCAAACGATTTGTCACATTCACTACATTTGTAAAGTGTTCTCTGATGAGCTCCGAAATGGACTTGTTGGGTGAAGGATCCGTCAAATTCACCACGTTTGTAAGGTCTCTCTCCCATATGAATCCTCTGATGTTTTCTAAGGTGGTTTTTGTGGACAAAGGTTTTCTCACATTCCTCACATTTGTAAGACTCCTCTCCCATATGAGTTCTCTTATGGGTTCTAAGGTCACTTTTCTTGGCAAAGGATGTTTCACACTGGTTACATCTGTAAGGTTCCCCCTCTTTATGCACTTTCTGATGGGTTCTTAGATGTTTTAGCTGGCTAAAGCATTGGCCACAATCATTACATGTGTGAGCTATCTCTCCGGTATGGGTCCTGTAATGGTTTTTAACCTGATACAACCCATAAAAGCCCTTTCCACATTCTTTACATTCATAAGCTTTCTCTTTAGCATGAATGCTCTGATGTCTTTTAAGACTTTCGGAGTTGCAAAGGCATTTGCCGCATTCACTACATTTGTAAGTTTTCCCTCCACTATGGGTCCTGTAATGGTTTTCGAGGCGTGACAAACTACAGAAGGAACTACAACATTGCTTACATACATAAGGCCTCACTCCAAGAATTTGCTGATGCTTTCTAAGGTATGAGTAGCAAAAGAAGGATTTCCCACACTTGTTACATTGGTAAGGTTTCTCTGCAGAGTGGATTCTGTAATGATGCCTTTTGAAAGCACTTGAATTAGAAAAGCACAAACCACATTCCCTACATTTGTAGGGTTTCTCTCCAGTGTGACTTGCCTCGTGTCTAATGAGGCCTGAGTGGGTCCAGAACCCTTTCCTGCATTTCCTGCATTGGTATGGCTTCCCTTCACTGCACATCTGACGTCCCACAGGTTTATGTGTAGAGTCAAAAGATTTATCATCTTCTGAGTGTTTCTGTTCGTTCTTTTCAGTATCGATTCTTTCATTTTGACTAATGGTGGGATGCAAATGTAAAGAATCACCACCATCTTTATGTTTGCAGGGATCTTCTCCAGTGGGCATGCTCTTATGACTGTCTGAGTGTGATGATTCAGTAGAGGCAGCCACATGGTTACCACATGCGCAGTTTTTGTAGTTTTCTGCAGGATCACTTGTGTCATGAGGTATACATTGGGAACAGTCATGAAGACTTTTGCCAAGCTCGTTACAGTTACAAGATGTCTCTTGGATAGTTGCATGATGATGGACAATATGCTTTGAGTTTTGATCTAGGACCTTCCCATACTGACAGTTTCGATGGTTCTCTGGAAAATTAACACAATTAGGCATAATAAAGAATAATAAGGATTGAAGCATGAGTAGTAAATTTGATAACAGATATCCCCATCGTAAGTTCTTTAAACAAGAATCCTTGCAGAAGCTTTGGGGTTTCATTATCTTTGTACAGATACTCAGAAGAACCTCCAACCTGATCTCCAACACACTGAGAGAATTAGTAACAGCCATCCCCTTTCTTATGGATGCTTTCATATTTTACAGTAGGCGTGACCACTTATTGATGAAGAAAACAATGTGAAATCAAAAACTTTTTTGTTTTTTTTTTGAGACAGGGTTTCTCTGTGTAGCCTTGGAGACTGTCACAGCACTTGCTCAGTGGACCAGGTTGGCCTCATACTTACATAGATCCACCTGCCTCTGCCTCCCAAGTACTGGGATTAAGGGCTTGTGCTACCACTGCCCAGCAGAATCAAAATATTTTCATTACTAAGTGACATACAATGCATTTTCTTTCTCTGAATATCCAATTGTTTTTGAACTTTGATGTCCCCATTATAAAGTAGATAATAGGGCTGGAGATATCATGCAGAATATAGCCTGGGTTACTCTCAAAGAAAAGACAGACCAATGTAAAGGAAATACTATGAAATACTTAGAAATCTGAATTTACATACATATAAATTAGGTAAATACAAAAGATGAGTTAGGAATTGTATAAGGAAAACATTCTCACCTACAAGGACTAGATTGCCGTAATTCTCCAACATCACATCCATGTACAAAGCCCTCTGAGAAGAGTCCAGACATTCCCACTCCTCCTGGGAGAGGTCCACAGACACATCCCTGAATGATAACAGACCCTGCAATGGAAAATTCCAGTCACCACGTGCTGCTAACAGAATGATTTTTTAGATAAAAGAGACCTAAGGAATTACACAGTCTTGTGATGAAGATGAAGCATGATAATTATTAAAACATAGAAGTTTCCTAGAAGTGTTTGATTATCAGAGAAGAAAAAGAGATCATAGGAAATAAACACATTAGATAACATTACCAGAGGCAGAAAAATGAAGGCTCACATGGTTTCAATAATAAAAACAAATGTGGACATGGCACTGACCTGGGGTGCATTTACAGGAGAATCATCCATTCTTCCTGTTGCTATTCTCTGAGTTTCTCTCTCAGGAACAAACACCTGAACTCTGCTCGACATTTCACATCAAAGTGTAAACACATGAACCTAAAATTAATTCAACTGTTATGGACAATGCCCAAAACCCATAAAAAGTCTGAAACACCAGAAAGATGCCAGGGTCTTGTCACCATCCCTACAGACAGGAAAACAGGGGAGGATATATTTAAAGTGGTAAAAGAATAGCCAGGAGGTGGCGGTGCATGCCTTTGAGTCCAGCACTAGGGAGGCAGAGGCAGGCGGATCTCTAGGAGTTTGAGGCCGGCCTGGTCTACAAGAGCTAGTTCCAGAACAGCCTGCAAAGCCACAGAGAAAAACTGTGTCTTGAAGAAAAAACAACAAAATAGATAAACCTTTATCCAAACCAAGCAAAAGGCAGAGAGGAAATATCTAAATTAACAAAATCAGAAATGAAAAGGGGGATATATCAGTAGATATTTAGGAAATCCAGAGAATCATCGGTCATACTTCAAAAACCTGTACTCCACAAAATTGGAAATGGAAAAAATTCTGGATATGTATGACATACCAAAATTAAATCAACACCAAATAAATTAAATAGACATATAACTGCCAAGGAGATAGAAACACTCATCAAGTCTCCCCCCCAAACAACAACAACAAAACACAAAACCCAGAATCACAGGGTTTCAGCAGAGAATTCTATCAGAATTTCAAAGAAAAACTAATACCAATTATCCTCAAATTGTTCCAATATAAACAGAAGGGACATTGCCAAACTCTTTTTTTAAGAGGCCACATTTACCTTGATACCAAACCACACAAAGATACAACTAAGAAAGGGAATTATAGACAAATCTTCCTCAGGAACATCGATGCGAAAATACTCAGTGAAATACTGCCAGACCGATCTGAAAAGAACACATCAGAAAAAAGTCATCCACCATGACCAAGTAGGCTTCATCTCAGAGATGCAGGGATGGTTCAACATATGAAAACCCATCAATGTAATTCATCATGTGAGCAAAGTAAAAGAAAAAAATGACTTGATTACTCCTTAGATGCTGAAAAAAAATCTTCAACAAAATTAAACACCCTTTCATGATAAAGGTCTTGGAGAGAGCAGGAATACAAGGAACGTACCTAAACATGATAAAGGCAATATACAGCAAGCCAACATCAAACTAAATTGAAAGAAACTCAAAGCGGTCTCACTGAAATCAGGAACAAGACAAGACTGTCCATTCTCCCCACACCTACTTAATACAGTACTTGAAGTTCTAGGTAGAGCAATAAGACAACAAAAGGAGATCAAGGGGCCACTAATTGAAAAAGAAGAAGTCAAACTAATGCTCTTTGCTGATGATATGATAATATACGTAAGTGACCCCAAAAATTCTACCAGGGAACTCCTACAACTGATAAGCACCTTCAGTAATGTGGCAGGATACAAGATTAACTAAAAAGAAAAAAATCAGAAGCCCTCCTACATACAGATAACTGGGCTGAGAAAGAAATCAGAGAGACATCACTCTTTACCATAGGTACAAATAATATATCTTGGGGTAACTCTAACCCAACAAGTGAAAGACCTATATGACAAGAACTGTAAGTCTTTGAAGAAAGAATTTGAAGATGACTTCAAAAAATGTAAAGATCTTCCATGCTCTTGGATATGTATGATTAACATAGTAAAAATAGGAATCTTACCAAAATCAAACTACAGATTTGGTGCAATACCCAGCAAAATTCTTCACAAATGTCAAAAGAACAATATTCAACTTCATATGGAAAAAAAAAAGAAAATAACCCAAATTTATCCAAAACAATCCTGTACCATAAAGGACTTCTAAAGGCATTACCATCCCTGACTTCAAACTCTAGTATACAGCCACAGTCATAAAAACAGCTTGGCACTGGCCTATAAACTGACAGGCGGACCAATGAAATCAAATCAAAGACCTGGATATCAATCCACACACTCATGAACACCTGATTTTTGGCATACAAGCTAAAAATATAAAATGGAAAAAAGAAAGCATTTCAACAAATGGTGCTGGCATAACTGGATGTTGACACATAGAAGAATACAAATAGGGACTGGAGAGATGGCTCAGAGGTTAAGAGTGCTGACTGCTCTTCCAGAGGTCCTGAGTTCAATTCCCAGCAACCACATGGTGGCTCACAACCATCTATAATGAGATCTGGGCCCGCTTCTGGCCTGCAGGCATACATGCAGGCAGAACATTGTATGCATAATAAGTAAAATCCTAAAAAAAGAAAAATACAAATAGATCCTTATCTATGGCCATGCACAAAACTCAAATCCAAGTGTATGAAAGACACCAAGATAAATCCAGTTACACTGAACTTGATAGAAGAGAAAGTGGGAAGTAGCTTTGAATACATTGGCACAGGAGATCACTTCCTAAATACAGCTCTAGTAACACAGACACTGAGAGCAATAATTAATAAATGGGAACGCCTGAAATGAGGAGCTTTTGTAAAGCAAAGGACATGGTCAACAACAACAAGCTCATAGCATGAGAAAAGATCTTCACCAACCCCACATCTTACAGGACTGATTTCCAAAAAAAGCATACAAAGAACTCAAACCAGACATCAAAAGACCAAATATAAAAAAAGATGTACCGATCTAAGCAGAGAACTATCAACAGAGAAATCTCAAATGACCCCCCCAAAAAAAGAAGAAAATGAGGAAATGCTCAATATCCTTAGCCATCAGAGAAACACAAATCAAAACTATTCTGAGATACCATCTTCTACCTGTCAGCATGGCCAAGATCAAAAACACTGATGACAGCTTATGCTGGAGAGATGTGGAGAAAGGGGAACACTCCTCCATTGCTGCTGGGAGTGAAAACTTGTACAATTGCTTTGGAAATCAGTATGGTGGTTTCTCAGAAAAAAAATGGGAATCCATCTACTTCAAGACCCATCAATACCACTCTTGGGCATATACCCAAAGGATGCACACTCGCACCACAAAGATCTTGGCCAACTATGTTCATAGCAGCATTATTCATAATAGCCATAACCTGGAAACAACCTAGATGCCCCTCAACCCAAAAATGGATAAGGAAAATGGAGTATGACTCAGTGGTAAAAAAATAATCATATCTTGAAATTTGCAGGCAAATGGATGGAACTAGTGAAAGGTTCAGGCATTACGCTGGCCTGCCCCTGTCACCTGGAAGAATGCACTCAGGCAGTACTCTGGTCAACCCAGGGTTCCATGAGTACTAGTCTGCACGCAGGTGTAAAGGACCCCTTTAAAGGACAGATTCCCACACCCACTTACGCTTTTTGCTCTCTTCTCTTCTTTTACCCTCTTCGTCTCTTCTGTCTCTCCCCCTCTTGCTCTCCCACCCTGTAATAGACTCTATGGTTAATGTACTCTCATGGTTCGTGTTCCATCACCCCGATTCCGTAGTGCTCACTCTTTAACATAAAGAACAACAACGAGGGAAAATCATACTGAGTGAGGTAACCCAGACCCAGAAAGACAAACATAATATGTACTCACTCATAAGTGTATATTAAACATAAAGCAAAGGTTCATCACCCTGCAGTCCACACCCTAGATGGATGAGCCGAGAAGGGGAAAAAGACAAGATCTCCCTAGTGAATTGGGAACATGGAGGGCAGGGAGGAGGATGGAAGGGGAAAGGGGAAAATGTATACCTCAATAAAAACAAGTAAAAGTCTTTTTTTTAAAAGAAAAAAACAGCTGGTACATCTTTACCAATACCCCAAAAACATACATGTTAAAGTTCTTATCATCCTTAGTTATGAAAGCACAAATTCAAAACCAACTTTTAATGTTTCTCACCCTGGTCAGAATGGCCAGTTTTTGTGGGGATTTTTTGTTTGTTTTTTGTTTTTGTTTGGTTCTTCGAGACAGGGTTTCTCTGTGTAGCTTTGGAGCCTATCCTGGCACTCGCTCAGTAGACCAGGCTGGACTCAAACTCACAGAGATCCGCTTGCCTCTGCCTCTCGAGTGCTGGGATTAAAGGTGTGCGCCACCAACGCCCAGCCAGATTAGCCAGTTTTAAGAAAACCCATTGAGAACCGGGCATTGGTGTCGCACACCTTTAATCCCAGCACTTGGGAGGCAGAGGCAGGAGGATCTCTGTGAGTTCGAGGCCAGCCTGGTTTACAGAGAGAGTTCCAGGACAGCCTCCAAAGCAATATACAGAGAAACCCTGTCTCAGAAAACCAAAAAGAAAAAGAAAAAAGAAAACCCATAGAGGATCTGTAAGACCCCTACGGCCATACCACCCTGAATGCGCCCAATCTTGTCTGATCTAGGAAACTCAGGCTTCCAGATCTCAGCCCAGGACCGAGGTCACCCAATCACCAAGAGGATTCGAACATTTGATGCAAACTGCACGAGGCTTTATTGTTGTCTAACGAGCTAACCCCATGTTAGCTCAGGCCTTCCATCCATCCACTATGGCGGATGACTAGAAAATACACTGAGAAGTGTCTGCATAGAGATCTTATAGGGCAGCGTAAGGGGAGTGTTTAGGGGTACACACAGGCTCAGGATTGGTGTGGCTCCA